ATTAGTGTGGTCACCAGCAGAGCCATCGAGGCAGGAGCCAGGAGTGCTGGGTCCTTGTGGGTGCTCTGCCAAGTGGGCCGTGCTGCTCCACCCATGCTCCCTGATCCCTTGGCTTTAGGGCACAGCTAGGGCCAGATAGGATTTCTGCTTTCACTGAACCTACTAATTAATTTGTGACATTGATTGCTTTTTGCAATATATTTGCCTCTCATTTAACATGTGGCTACTGTGCCTGGGAACAAAAAGATCCCAAACCACACAAGTTGATTATATTGGTAGCATAGCATACAAGCCTTGTTAGAAACAAGCAAGCTGCCCTTATGTCTGCAGTTATCTGCTATAAATAAAGTCTTTTAGATCTCCAATTAAAAAGATTTGAGCATTGCTACAACACCAGGAATGCCAAATATTTGCCTGTGGTCAGGAAATTAAATTTAAAAGGCAAAATAATTTCCTTTTTTTGCAGTGACGATCATTTCTAAAGACAACAAATGCATAATTGGGTGCGTTGTCTCCTCTCAGAGCATAAAAGAAAAACTGCACAGACAACTACACTGATGTGAACCCTCACAGTGTGGAGCCTTGCAGGACTCCTGCCTGTAGCATTCCCCAGTCCCTTTCATTGCCAGCGTGCTCCTGCATTCAGTTCTCAGAGACACCACAGACTGAAGAGAAAGATCTAGTAAATGAATCACAGCCTCGATGCTACGAACGAGCTTAGCTCTCTAGAAGCCACTCTACTACTCCTGGGAATGGAAAAATAGCACTCTCTAGTGGGGAAATAAAATAACTTACTGGAAAAAAATCACTGTGTGATGTGGAACTCTCCATAGGAAAGCAGCTGTAGCTTCATATCTTTACCCAATTTTTCTTCTGCCTTCTTTGTACACCTCTGGTCACTTACTGCCTCCATTTAGCCAAGGAGGAAGATAGTACCTCCTGAACTGTCCTGACTGTTCTGACTTCGGCTGATTTCTTCTTCAGGTGCCAGAACTGGGTCTTCTCCCTTGGGCTTGCTCTTGGCACATCATACACACGTCTCTGTCAGTGTATGGACAGTGACAAGGGCAAAGGGAGAACAGATGGACTAGTGAAGAAGATGTCAGGGTGTCTCCTTAGCACAGCAAGGAGAGGGCTCCTTTCCTATCTTTTCCTTTCACCATCACCCAGTGGAAAACTCCTTCCTCATTAAGATGAAGAACTCATTACAGGCTAAACTGAGATGCTAATCAGATATTAGCTGTAACTGTTAATGAAAGAGCTAATGAGGTGCTGAGACCTCTGTCTCTGACTGAAATGAGTTAATCACATTTCACTGCTCAGAAACTCATTAACCTGCATGAGTGCTTGCTCATGTTTTCCATTCCTTTGTTTATGATAGGAAATAAAGACAACATTTTATCTTTATTAACTTATGCCGTTGGGTCTCCCCGCTTCTATGAAGTCATGCAGCTATGGGCCAGGCTTGCAACCAGCTGTGAATTCCTTTGGTTCTTGAGGAATAGCATCTGTGGGGAACGCTATCACTGCTGCAGTGGCACACGCTTTTAGGGAGGAGGTTGCACCAGTGCAGGGAGGGAAGGAAACACCACACACACAGTCACATTGAACAGTGATTTCTTCTTGCCCATGGCTTTTGGAAATGGTGGTTTAAAAATTATTCCAGCTCTCACAAGCTCAAGCTCAAACTCTCAACAAGAATTAAATTGCCACCAGTGATTTCACTGCAACTTCAGAAGCACTTCAGCAAGAGCATACAAAGTGCCCCTGGTTGCACTCCTCCTGATGAAACTCCCAGTTCTTTCCAGTTTGGATCATGTCATTCCTGTTAGTGATGAGCAGTTATTTCACCTGATTCCAGTGGGTGATCTGTGGGATAAGTAATTAGGAATAAGTTGTAATTGAGTTAGCTTGATGCAGTTTTGACTTGGTTTCTCTCACGTGTTATCGATAATACCTTCTCTCAGACTTCTGGAAAGGTCTTTACAACCCTTGAGTCCATTTTAACCTTAAGGCTTGATTGGGTTGGAGTCAACTTTGTTCATAGCAGCTTATATAGTGCTGTGCTATGCAATCATGGCTATGAGTGTTGATAGAGCACCAGTGTTTTGGCTGCTGCTGAACAGTGCTTGCATGGCATCAAAGCCTTTTCTGTTTCTTGCTGTGCCTCTCAGCAAGGAGACTGAGTTGGGAGGGGACACAGCCAGGGCAGGCCAGTAGTTATTCCATCCCATATAATATCAACCTCAGCAATAAGCTGAGATGGAGGGTTGTCTTCTGAGGTGGCTGTTGCTTGGACACTGGCTGGGTATTGGTCTGCTGGCATGAGATGCTGAGTGACCACCTTTGCATGGCTTGGATTTCTGCTTCTTTTAACAGATTAAACTTTAATCATAGCCCATGAGTTTTCTCTCTTTTGCTCTTTCTGTTCTAGCATGCATCTCACTGGTAGGAGGGAGCAGATGTGTGGATGCTTGGCTGCTACCCACGGTCAACCTCCAACAACATGCACTGCCCAAAAGCCAGGAGCAGTCTAATTCTCTCCTGGCCTACCAACTTTGACTGACCAAAACAAATGGTTAAAATGTTTTTGTTTCTGAAGGTTTTCTGAGGTTCTGCTAATTTTATTTATTGACCTTCTATTTATTTCTATTTCCCTGTCTACCTATTCAAATTAAACCCTCAATGACATGGTCTGTCAGCCAGACAACTCTCCAAAATCCCCACTGATGAACCGCTGGTCATCAGCCACTCCCATGACTGTGATTCCACAGCCAGAAACTCTGTGCTTCATCAGCCTCCTGGGGCCCTTGCTCACCCATACACACCCTCTGATGTCTGAGCACGAGGATGCATTCTAACAAGTCTTCCAGCACCCAAAGGAGAAACAGGATCAGAACACAACGAAAGTAGATGGGGAGAAGCTGCTTTAAGTGTTCCTTGATGTTGGCACTTGGCTTGGACTTCACAGGAGGAACACAGCTTGTGGGACATAGCGTTGGTGGCATAGGGCAGGATGATTTTCTTGCTGATTTAGTGTCTGGGTGGACAGGGAGGCAGCTGACAGCACAGCTATGGGCCTGCTATGTGACACTGGAATATTTGATCATGTGGAAAAAGTAACAGGTCTAGGAAATGTTACGTCTTAGTAGGAGTGTCAGTGTCACAGGTCCAGCCAAATTCCTATATGAATATATTTATAATCTGCCAGCCAAATGTTGCCTTAGAAACTAAGGAGTAAAACAACGTGCAACATTTCCGATAGGAGAAAATTAAACCATTGACATTTACCTCCTCATAAAATAACCTAACCTTGGAGAACTTTCCACTGAGGGAAATGTGTTTTATTTCACATTGCCTGAAGATAAGAAAACAATGAGATCTGCTCACTGAAAGTGCAGGAGAGACAAGTGAGAATGCATTTTAAAGGTGGCAAGAGAGTCCTCCTTATTTCATTGGTTTGCTTTAATTGCTGTCCTCAGTATGAGCCATCAGAGAAATCCATGCCATGAACTGAAGCCATATTTTGCCTTTGCGGGTAGCTGTTTCTTCAGTTGATTGTATAAACAAAAGCCTTTGTCCAACTCCTGTAGTTGGTCCATCTGTCTAGATGTTGCTCTTGTTGCTGCTACATACCTTACTGTTCCCTGGAGTCTTTAGATTGTATACTTAAGATAAATTATCCTCCAGACAAAATCACTTTAGGCATGGAATCTGCATTTCAGTGTACTTCTTGTGAGTGGACATGAAGCATGGTTTTGAATGGCAAGCTGTCCTCATTTTATTTTGCCTTGCTAAGTATGACAGAGGAGGAAGGCTGAGACCTGGGACTGTTCAGACCGGAGAAGACTAAGAAGGGATCTCATCAATCCTTACAATTCTGTCATTCTCTGATGGCACCTCCTTCTACCCTTCAGAGTAATTTTGCTGCCAGCAAAACCCAAGCACAAATGAAATCCGTTAAGAACAATGTGGTATTCAGAAGCAGGCATTAATATGGTGCCAAATGCACGAGCAGATCCTTCCACCTAATTGTGGACTCCAACAGACCAAAGGCACATCCCTACACGTTTGGGTATGCTATGCCTATGTGTTTGGAGAGAGGTCTGCAGTGGTTGTGAGACCCCACCTCACACATTTGGTTAGTTAATGGTGGGACTGTTCTCCTTTTCAGCAGGCTAGATAGATACATTAATTTTCAAGATACTCCTGAAAGACAAGACTAGCCACACTGACAACTGCTTTACCATTGCAGTTTTTTGCTTAAAAGCTCCCAACAGCTTTAAAGTTTGAGTAACGGTGACATAAAGAAGCACTTAGAGTTAAAATTCCAGAAACTTTATGCTGGTGTTGGTAGGTTTCATATGGGTTTAGAGGCTGGCCAATAGAGAACCTCTAATCTCAGTAACTTCCCTCAGCAGCATCAACCTTTAGCATGGTGTGAGGCCAAGCTAAGTAAGAGCCACAGGCAAAGGATTTTGCTATCACAGGTTGGGAGCCTAGTTATCATTTGATGGCTGTTAGACCTTCTGCTAAGGAACAGCCTATTCTGTGAGTGACTGTGGGGACAGTTGGAGAGGAGGAATCAGGAAATTACTGAGTTACTGAAGGACTGGCATCAGGTGGATGTAAGACCTAGAGATACCTAAAGGAGATTGAGAAGTGAGCTTTACCTACAGGTCAGTGTGGGAGACCCAAATGCAGCTTCTTGCACATTAGGAAGCCATTCAGGGGAATTTAGGATTCAGAATGCTAAACTTGCTGAAGAATGTGGGAACCTTCAATTCAAAACCTTGAAGTTTTGCTGTTTTCAACTTTACTCTGGGAGTGAGGAACGATTTGCAAACATCATGACTGTAGTAGTTTTCTTCATGGGAGAAGAAAACTGTGTCAAGAGAAGATGGAATGCTTCCATCTTGCACTGTTACAGGTCAGAGGAGGTCTTAGGAACTAACGGAAATACTGTGGGAAAAAGATAAAGTACAGACAAACACCTTTGACTTGATAACAGTAAAAAATTTATTTTGATTCATATCATACTGAAAAATTAAATAAATAAAACATCAAAGAATGATTGAGACTGCCCACCAACACAGCAAACGAAACAAAACAACAAGAAAATGATTATCATATTCAATTATGTAGCCAGAAAAAGTTGGAAGAAAATGTGTTCATGAGAGAAAAAAAGTGCTCAAGACATTTGGCTTTGGTTAAGAACACAACACACTCAAGGAGTGCTTCAGAGAATTTTCAGGGGTGGTAAACACAGTTCAAGAGTTTGATGTCTCGACATGTTGATTTAGCAACTTCTTTTAAACAAAATAAAACTAGAAAATTTATAGCAGAAAGACAGACAGTCTTCCATTGACAGTGGGAATGAATTCTTCTTCCAGCATCATCTGTTGGTACCTCTTTATTCCGAAGGCATTTGAATGATGATCAGTCAGTCACATACAGGACTCAACAGAAAGTTCCTCTGGAACAGAAATGCAATGGTGTGGACTATCCTTCATCCTACAGCTTGTAAGGTCCACCCTCTGCTCTCCTCCTGCTCTGAAAAATGGACCTCAGTGGTACATATTACTACCTGCAGTTGGCAAGAAAAACGCAAATTGCAGGTTGTCACATGAAGACTTTAAAACTATCCAGAACAGTACGAGCCAAGAGCTTTGTATGTGCTGTCAGAAGCAGAATATCCAGGGAAAAGTTGGAAATTTAATTGAGCAGCAACAGGAAACTTTTTAAAATAATACGGGCTAGAAGATAGCTGATTTTTTTTTTTTTAATATCACTTTTCTTGACTGCAAGCTGCCACTTGTAGTAAAATAATCAATGGGAAATAGTACCAAGCCACAACTCTCTTCCATACCTTTCTGAAAATGACTGGAATAGTAATGAAATGTTCCCATTACTGACATCTGAGAGAAGAAAACAATGAGAAAATAAATTGTCATATTTCAAACTGATGATTTAAAAATAATCTCCAGAATCCAGTCAGAGGGTGAAGATAATGTTGGAGTGTTCCATAGGAATTTTTTCCTCTTAAAGTTTCTTTGCTTGACTAATATTAGTGTGACATCTTTCCAGAAGCATATTAACAATTTAAATAGTGGAAATTATTAAAATAAACAAGATTCAGGTAGAAACATCAAGCACATTGAATTTGCTCCACCTGTGACACGCAGCTGAGTAGTTGTAATGGCCAACATGCTGGGAGAGGACTTCTTGACATAAGGATCATGAACAGGTCTCATAATGAAGATTTGAAAATCCAGCCCTTTCCCTATTGCTAAACTGAAGAGTTATATGTGTACAACAAAGACAGTTTAGTTCCTTGTTTGGCATCCACAGCTCCTTTCATGCTTTAAGCCCAGTAATAGTCATGTGGGTAAAGGAGTTCATCTTGGTGAAACACGTATATTCCATCTGACTGTGTCATTATGCCATGAACTGCTGCCTTGGAGGGGAGCACACTATTAAAAGCCGGCCAGGGGGGACAAATCTTGGACTGAAGCACATCGCCAGTTGCAGGGCTAGGCTTTCACTGAGCTCACACCAAAATGCCTATCCACTAGGACATGTTGTGGCAACTGGTGCACAAAAGACAGGTCATTTAGATACAATTTCTGAATTACCTCAAATCCCAAACACTGTAATCCATTAGAAATGAAAGACACTTTTTTTTTCCAGGCCCGATCTGAAGTCCATTGAAGTCTGTGGCAAGAACTCCATTGGTTTCAGCAGAGCTGAAAATTGGTCAACAATCCGTAAGTTCTATTTTCATTATTTTGGGAAGCAAAACCCACAGTTCTCCACTCTTGAAAACCTGAACTTCATTCTTTGAATCCAGACAAATCTGCAGATGTAAAATCGCCACTGTCACTTCCCTCCTCTCCTTGTCTAGAAGCTCTGCCAATAATGCATTCACTCTTGAGCAACGCACATAGTCTGGCTTACACTGTAGGATCAGTTTGCGTAGATCATGTCTTTATAGATGTTGCTACTGTGCAAGGGATTCATCACTACTGTGTCACTATCTTATATTCCAACCCATGCTATCTCTTGCATTTCAAATGTAGACGTTGTAAAGAGATACCACTTTTAAATTTGTAAAAAAATAAGAGGAAAAGATTCCTTGGAACATTTGGATATTTTCCCATAAAAAAGGTAAAAGCTACCTTTAAAAATTAGCCTTGTTTGTGTATGCTTAAGTACAATATAGGAGATACTATTCCTAGTTTCAACTACAAAAGTATACCACTTGGAAGCTACACTTTGGTTAATTTCCTTCCCCTTTATTAAAAAAAAAAAAAAAAAGAGAAAAAAATACCATTTGTCACCATTAAAAAAAAAAAATCAAATCTTTGCACAATATAAAAGGCACATGTAAACGACTGAAAGAGAAAACAGTCCACTTTCCACCTTAAACTGATTAAATAAAAATAAGCATTTTGGAGTAATTTTCACAAAAAAATTTAAAAAGTTATGTATAACTAAACAAGACAGTTAAACAGGCTAAAAAGGCCTTAGTTTTTCTTTTATTTTTATTCTTTTTTTCTGGAGTTTTCAATATTTTTTTTTTTTTTTTTTTTTTTTTTTTACTATGGCTGTATAGGAAGCGATAATAAATAAGATATGATCATAGGTGATTTGATCTGCGTTTCCTAGATGCCATCAATGCAAAATGTGGCTATGGTAGAAACAGTTACTACTCCAGGCAACTTCATCACGTTTTTGCTTTATAGTGCATGAAACCAGAAGAGGAAACAGAAGAGAATTTGAAAAGATTAACAGCAGAACTGAATTCATTACTTTGAGGTAATTCTTACTATGATGTTCAGAGCTACTGTAGGTGTCAAATCCTAGAAGACATTTCCCATGTTCTTCAAGGATTTCTTGCCTTACTCAAGGAAAGAGCGGACATACAAACAGCAGTCCCTGCGCCCAAGTTCCCCCAAATTGCAACAGGTAGATCTTTCACCAGTAATTCAGGAATCAATCTGGAGAGCCTAAGGAGGAAGTCAGGATGTCATTTATTCCCACAACTGATCGGTAGTTCCTAGCTATCTATAGATAGCAAATCAAGTGCAGCATTCAAGCTGGTCCTCAGCTGAGCTCCCTGTGGTGAGCAATGCAGCAGTGTGACACACTGAATCCATTCCAGATTCACACCTTCAAACCTGGCTGACATCCAGATCATCTTCACTGAGCTTTGTGCTGCTGCATGTTGGAAATTGCAGCCCCTACTTGTCCCTGTGGCTAGGGTCATCTGCCCTTGAAAAATTTTATTTTTTCAATGGAGGCAAGAGTCAAAGTTACATTGAACTCAAAATCCCCATCATGGACACCTGTCTGTCGGAAAGCCCCAGCTGAAGCGTTGTTTTCCCAGTAGTGATGCCAGTGTCCTCTGCTGTCTGCTCCAAAACCATACACATTCACCTAGGAAATAAAAGAACTAGTGATATGGCATGGAAAGCAACTGGTCATCTGAAATATTGAAAGCTTTTTTTTTTGGTTATCAGTACATCTATAGACATCACCACCCGATGACCTCTTTGCTATACCAAGTTGTTCTACTGACTGAGATGGTGCCACCACAGGATACTGGCCCATGGTCTAATCAATGCTCATTACACCCTAAGCTGTGCTGAGAGAAGAGTAGAAAAGTCTTCAGTTTGTCCTTGTCTTCCAAATAAAATCCTCTGCAAAGTGTCTGCCCCGCAGTCACTTCTGATCCAGAGTCAGATGGGCGTTATGCTTTTTGTTTGTGCATACTCCTGTGGCCTCTCCTCTCCCAGCTGCTCACTCATCAGTGGCTATGCATGTCTCCTCTGGTCATAAGCTCAAATCTTATCTGAGTTTGCTCATTGCCTACTTGACAGAAACCAATATCCACCCAACCTGCCCATCCTATCTGCCTTGCCATGGTACAGTTTCTGCCAGTATCATTAGGAGTATTACTGTCAGCATACTGTCAACACCCCTGAGACACAATAAAGACTGAGACACAAGCTCTCTTTAATCAGCAGAGCTGTGTCTAGGCCAATGATTTTGCCGGCACTTTTTTTTTTTTTCTCTTCCCCTTTTGCTACCAAGCTCATACTTGCATCACCTCATATTATCCAATCAAGGAAATTTCCTCATACTCATGGAACTGAGGCATTTACTGTTTAAATTCACAAGCCTGGGAACAGAAAAGGATTTGAAAATAAGTAATTTGTATTTTCCAAACTGATTATGTAGGAGTTGGTAAATAAAATTATTCCAGTGGGATTATGTTTAAGATTCAGATATCTAAATGGGTGTGCTTGAGCACTTGGAGAACTAGGCAGCAATCCTTGAGCTCAGGGAGCAATCCTGCTCCCCAGATGTATTACCAAATGGTTGGTCTGCCTCTTGACTCCACGGACTAAATAGTTAAGACCTCAATGCAATTGCCCAAGCATAAGTGCTACTTGAGATGTTCTTGAGTACTTGACATCTACTCAAGAAGGGCAGATATCACACAGGACCAAGAGACTCCCACTCTTCTGAACTGTCATCTGGAAGTACAGGGCATATTCAGGGCACTGCCAACATCTGCAGGTGCCTGAAGTCAGACAATATACTCTGGACTTTCACTGATGAGATGGATACACAACTAATTGTAGATGTAGACACAATCCATATTTATACATCTTTTAATTCCAAATAGACTACCACCTTTTAGCTCAGTTAAATTTCTCTGAAATGCATTTGAAACCCTATCAGTCTTAGTCATAAGGAAGAACTGTTTCTCTCAGAGTGGTCAGGCAATAGAATGGCTGTCCAGGGAGGTGGTGGAGTTGCCATCCCTGGCAGTATTCAAGAGGTGCCTGGATGAGGAGCTACGAGATATGGTTTAGTGGCTCAGGCTAGTAATAGTAATGGGTAGATGGTTGGACTAAATGATCTTGTAGGTCCTTTTTAATCTTATGATTCTATGATTCTACCATTAAAAGAAACAGCGACTGGTCACCCAAGCATATCTGAGTATTACTGAGGACTTTGAATCTATCTGAAGAAGCAAAAGGCACAGAAGGTGGCAAATAAAGGTCAGGGCATGATTTTGGCACCTCAGTGTGGTACATCTTATTTAAAACCTATATATCCACACATAGCCAGACTTTACCTCATCGCATACATGGAGTGCAAATATCACAGAAAGAAGGCCTGTGGAAGGGTATCTCCCATGATTCTGAAGCCAGTTTTCATAGACGTATTTGATAAAAGATGGATTGTAAATCAGGATCTAGGCAAAATTGGAGAGATAGATTCATTACTAAAACACTGGGGGGAAAAAAAACAAAAAAAAAACCAACAAAACAAACTGTAGCATCTCATCCCTACAATGACACCAGGGTAGGAAAGAAAGGGATAATAAGTATTCTTTAAGGACAAGTGTACAATCAATGAACATACAGATGTTGTATTATAGCAGAGAGCTTGGCTACATAGTTATTACACCAAAGCAGAAAACAGAAAAGATAAGGATGCTTACCCATATCCTGAGCTCACTTAGGAAACTCCAGTGGAGTGGATCTCCAGAAGAGATCCTTCCCCCTGGTAGTCAGCTCTTAAATGGGTCTAGGAGAGGTGCAGCCAGGCTCCACCCCTTCTGGCAGCACAGGTGAATTGCCTTCACCTGTGCTCCCATGGCTGACTTATTGCTCGCCTCAGGTGATCAATCACAAGTTCTGGCCGTGATTCAGCAGTTCCCATACAACAAGTGAAAGGGAAACATAAAGTCCCATAGTTAAGCATGATCCATATTTTCTATGTGCAATTGCGCATATCTACTCCTTTGTCAGACTCAGTATCCCACTTGATCACACTAACATAAAGCCCAAGTAATTCCTCCTGAAACCAATGGGTATGATTCTGTGCAAGAAAAAGAAAATTAGACATTCAGCTCTCCTTGCAGCATTCTGCCGTAGTGCAGGAGAGCTCTGGGGAGTCTGAGGCCTTTTCAAAGAAAATGTAAGATTACATGCCGTATTTGGGGGCAGTATCAGCATCCATATCTTCTGCAATGTATGGCAACCGTGTCTTGGTGTCTATATTTATAGGTCAAAGAAAACCCGAGGGTAGGTATAAACTATCAGGAATCCTATCAGGGAGCATCAGCTGCATTTCTCCTGTTTCCCAAACAAATTATTTTTCTATGTTCTTCTATTTCTTTTTCTTTTTTTTTTTTCTCCAGCAAATCATACATCAGTTCTAAATGATTGTTTCCATTAGATGACCCCATAATTTCTCCAGGAGATAACAGTCTGATGTATGATTTGCTGGAGAAACAGTGACTCCAAAGACTGGTGGGAGCCTTTGTTTTCAACCTTCTTGTACTGAATCAGGAAAAGAGAGGCTTTTCCCTCCATGCTGCGTTTGGAATTAGAGTGACAGTGTTTCACTGCTATCTGGTTAGCTGCAGGGCTTCTTCTTTTACAAAGTCAGGGGTTAATTGCTGATATTTTATCTGTGTGTAATTGCTTCTCAAATGGTGCTTAGGTTCACACATTGTGATAGGAAATACTTCTTGTCTCTCGTTTGGGAAGCTCCTGAATATCCCCAGCCCAGGGCTAGGCTGGTGCTACACAGTTGTGACACTGCTTTGACAACCTGCCACAGTCTAACTCACAAGGGTTTTGCAGAAGTTAATGTGTCCATCACCACAGGTAGAAGTGAGCTGAGTGATTATTTAATACCCCACATAGGTCCACAGTTGAAGTAGAGTGATACAAACTGATAGTGGTTAAAGGCCTCATCTGAAATCCTTGGCAAAACCCAATCCGGTGAATGAAGGATGCACTCTAATTTGTGATCGTAATCCTCTGGGACTGACAACATACTGTGCCACTCCTTGAGAGACTGAGAGCTCTAAGCTTCTCTGAAAACCAGCTTCTTCAAAAGTTGCTGGAACAAGACTTCCATGTTGTTGGAAAGTCTGTGGAAGATGAAACGTCTTTAACTTCCCTTTACACAGCCTGCCTTGCTTATGTCCTCAGATCATACAGCTACAACAACAGACTGTGCATGATGGCTAAAGGTCCAGCATGGGAACAGTCATCTTGCTCCATTGGAAATCCTGCCCTGTTAAATCACAGCGTACTTGGGAAAAAAAGTCAGTTTGCTGATTACTATTTAGTGCATAATCCCTAAACAGCACGAAGGAACTAAAACTTTTGCTTATCTAAGTCTTGTAAAAAGAGTGTATTTTGGTCACTACTTTCATGGATGTTAAAGACTTTCTTGGATTCTTGCAGTCTCCTGAAGAGGCAAATGATCTACAGATGGACCAGCAGAACAAATTAACAAATGAGCACTGCTCACCTTTTCCTTTTTGACTTTGATCTTCCGTGGAACAGGAACATATGTGCTGGTAAAAGAAAAAAAAACAAAAGCAACAACAACCAACGTTAGTGAAAACCCAGCACAACATAAAAAAATGTATTTCCAAAGGGAGAATGAATGTACTTCACATAAAGTAATACATTCAAATAATTTGAAAGTAACAAGTTCAGAAAGTGGTTGGAAAATGAGGCCGCAATTAAGTAATAGAGCATGAAAAAAAATAATCTGAGCTTTTATTGAAGCAAGGCTTATAGAAAGGCATTACTTTTTTTTAATTTTCAAGGTAATTATTGACACTGGAACATCAAGGATGTAGTAGAGCATATTACTACACAGTCACTATGACACAGAGATCATGACTTCTAATTCTTGGACCATTACTTTTGCAGCTTTTGCACGCTGGTAACATGGTTTCATGCAATTTCATGGCAGAAATTCCCCACCAGGGGGAGACCTTTCCCCTCCTATTACTAGTAGCTGCTGCATTATTTTCAGAGAAGGTGGTAGCAGAGCAGTTATTTGCAACTCGGGCATCCCAATACACAGCCCCTCACCACCAGGCTATTCCCTGCCTCCCAGGGGGATGCAGATGGCTGCCAGCAGTTCCCCAGTGTAAACCTTTCAAATCACAGCTTATGACTGGCTTGAAATCACGAGTCATGTCTTGAAACAAAAAACTCTTTTCTGCTCTGTGTCCCATGAACAGCACATGCTGAGACTGCACAGCTCATCACGAGTGCTGAAAAAAAATCTAACCAAGGTTGAATGAAACAAGGTTGTGTCAAGTGAGAAAATCCGTTGAACTGGCCTTCTAATTGGAGCGTATCTCAAAACATGTCCTGTATACTTATTGCACAGAGGTTGAGAGCCTTCCATTAGCATCATCTAAACATTTTACGTGTGATTTTTGGTAATCCAGTGGTGAAAATGGCAATGTTCTCATTTCCTGAACTACTTTTGGGCACTCTGACCTGAGATGTCTACTCTGGGCTCGATGTAATAGGAGAGGGGACAGGTGGGTTGCAGTCCCTGCAGGTGTGACACAATAGACATGCACAGAGTTTGTCAGTGCTAATGGAGAAAGGGACACCCATGCAGACTTCTCAGTCTGCCGTCAGCAAATCTGCCCCTGCACCTGTTTCCCATGTCTGACCTTGATCGTGAGAAGCAAACTTGACAAACCTTTCTGTGCTTAAGAGGACAGAAAGGGCTTCCTTGTTGACAAAATCTCACTATTACATGAATAAACAGTCAGTCTTTTCCAGAAAGGTGACAGTGATGTAGAGGAAACAAGGAGACTATTTCATAGGCATGTGGCCAGGTCCAGTACAAGTGTTCAAGATAATACTGGCAGACAGCTCTAATCCACCCTCAAGACTCCTGTAGCTCTTGTCATGTGATAAGTTAGTCTTGCTTATATGAGATATATTTTTTTAGAAGCAATACCCAAGTCCTGAAGAATCTCATACAACTGCATAGAGTACTGGCATAGTGCTTGAAGTCAAATGGAGACCCCAACTGTTAAACTTACATAAAATCTGGGCTGCTGAGCAGCCAGAATGCTTGTGATTTTTTAGCAAATAGATCAGTCCTAGAGACCTACACTGTAATAGGACGTCCATCAATCAAGTGGTAGAAGTCTGAAAGAATCAATAAGCCATCAATTATAGGAATATCTGCTGTTTGGCTTTTATTTTGGACAGTAAAAAAAAAAAAGGAGTATGAAATATAAAATAAACAATTTAAATATTATATTATAATATAATAATAGTAAATTAATAATATAATCTGGATGTTGGTGGCCCTGCCTGCCTGCCTGTAGTGATCCTTGGGGGTCCATTCCAACCCAAGCCATTCTATGATTCTATGGTAATGCTGCTGGGAGGTGAGCAAGCTAACTCACAGATTTGAGCCTTAAGAGTTTATTATTTCGTTTGAATGGAACACAGAAAATAAATCACTGCACAAAAGCCCAACCAACAGTGATGCCTACCTTTTCTTTTAAGTATGAGTGCTGTTAACCTGAGTTTGGTTGACACAGCCTGCGTGAGACACATAATGGCCACACACATGCAGTAAGGAGTTGAACACTTCTTCTCTTTCAAAATATCAAATTTCAGATGGGTTTTATTCCTATTTGATCCTCCCTCTCTTCCACAATGTACTCTCAGCAGTTTCCTTACACACTATATCTGATATTATGATTAATGCCTCCTCAGAGGTTTATACCATTGGTCTAAAATTCCATTTAATGTATTGCTATGATTTGTGTGCTTATGATTGTCTGGTTTTATTATGCAGCATGTGCCAACTAATTAATAATGCAATTGCCCTGCTATGGCAAAAATCTTAAAATACTGTTATTTCTTCCATGTGGTAAATACATACTGATTTACACCAGCTGCTTACAAGCCTATTAATACAATCTAATTATAAATATATATATCCTGCAACTTACTAAGCAGGGATATTTTTCCCTTAATGTGCTGATTTCTAATTCCTGTTATTGACTAGTAGTTAAGCAATTATATGTTCCAGCCAGGCTAGGACTCACTCAACTTTTACCTCTCACTGCAACCCACTCGCTGTGACCTCTGAAAGGTAAATACTCCACAGAACATAGGAATGGCTTTGCAGTTTGGGCACAGAGCAGTGACAGTGATGGAAACATGGATGGGTGACGCTAGCAGCAAGGGATGATGGTCGATGGTTGGACTAGATGATCTTAGTGTTCTTTTACAATCTTAATGATTCAATGACTCTACGGACTGGCCCCCAGCAAGCTCCTCTTCCTAGCATAGACATGTATTTGACAAAGATGTATCAAGGGGCTTCATTCAAAGGCCACTGAAAGCAGCTGGAATCCTTCCTTTGCTTCCTGATGGGATTTGGATCCAGGCTTCAGGCCAGAGTTTTTCAATCTTTTTTTAATCAATATAACTTACGAAATAAAAGAATTAAGCCTTGCAAAAAAGGTCAGTGATATTTCTTAGCTGATTCTATAAGTGGATTGATTTACCTGAAGTATGACTGTCTGTTGAAAATGGATTTTTTTGAGACAACTTATGACTGGACACACTAACTGCTGGTGACAAAAAAAAAAAGCTAAAAAGAAACAAAATCACATTTGTTACTAATTAAGAGAATCCTAATGAAAAGTGAAGAAAATCAAAAATGCATTTGCTAAGAGGAAAGTATTTTAAAAAAGAATTAAAACTATTTTTTGTCCCATCGAAAAGTTTACATCCAGCAGATAACCTCAATCATGTGATATTGATACAAATATCACATATTTCATTCTCTGGATTAAGAAAAGCCATTTCATGGGAATGGAGAATCTGCTAGCAAGCATCCAGAAAAAAACATACAATTTGTTCACACTTCTAATTCTAGTGCTGCCAAAAATGCACTTCAATCTGAAAGCACTCATAAAGAAGAAAGAGAGAACAAACATCATTGTGGCACATTATTGCCAGGTAAAATGCGTTAATTTAAGGCCATCACACAAGTGCTGCACAAAACAATGCTGCCTCCTCTGTATGGCTGTCAGTCACCACATGCCATGCTATCCTGAGACACCTTCATACTGACAGAGCAAAGATGTTGTGGCAAAACTGAGCAGAAGTTCAGCAGGGTTATCTGAGACAAATTCGGGGAGCAGGGCATGAATGGGAAAAGGAGAAGGAAAAAGCTAGTCAAGGATGCACTGAGTAACTCCCTGTCTTCATCTACACCAAACCCAAATACTACCTCTTGCATCACCACTACTCCCCACTGAAAGACCCAGGATAGGTGAAGAGAGATTTGCTTCTTCACTTGGCACAATTACTTGTTTGTTCTCTCTGAAAATCCATTTTGGGTGGATGCAAGACCCCACCTCTGCTCTCATGAGACTCCATCTGGAACGCTGCAGGAGCCACCAGCACAAGAAGGACGTGGGCCTCTTGGAGTGGGTCCAGAGGTGGCCATGAGGATGACTGGGGCTTACAGGACATCTGAAGAGGGACATTTTACAGGGGCATGTAGTGACAGGACAAGGGTTTCAAACTGAATGAGGGTAGATGTTAGAAGGAAATTCTTCATTATCAATGTAGTGAGGTACTGGTACAGGCTGCCCAGAGAAGCTGCAAATGCCTCACTCCCAGAGATGTTGAAGGTCAGGTTGGATGGGGTCCTGGGCAGCCTGATGTGGTGAGTGGCAACCCTGACCCTGGCAGAGGGTAGGAACTGAGTGGGCTTTAAGATCCCTTTCAACCCAAACCATTCCATGGTTCTGTGATTCTGTGTCTCTGGCCAGACCCAGGCACTGAATCCCAGGACAAAGGAGGACACGAACAAGCCAGTGGGGAGCTGAATTGAGCAGTCAGGGCAGGATGAGCCATTTCCAGCTCTTCCTCTGTCCTTAGCCATGTAGCTGTGAGTCACATGAAGGAGGAAGAGTTGATTTTCTTGAGAATGGAGGCAGGATTGTTCTTCCTCTGCTGAAAAATCTAGAAAGGACCAAAACTGCTCAGGTAACAGCTGATAAGTATAGCCAAGTTTTCATTTTCCATCTCTCTTCTCTGCTGCAACCCATTCTGAAGACCCCCTCAGATCTCAGCCCTGCAATTAGCTACAGATCTGATCCCATGACATGTCTGACCTCCACTGTACATTTGAAATCTGATATGGATTTGTCCCAGAGCACCTGGACTGGAGACAATTTCCCAGCAGGAAATTAAAATAACACCAGACATAAAGTTCAAATGGTGGCTTTGCTCTCTGAAGCAGGTAGAAGGGAAGGAGCGAGAGTATGAGAAAGAGCGGAGGAAACAAGAGAATGTGAAGGGGCTCTCCAGCCTGAGAGCAAGTCTCAGAGCAAAATAATGCTCTCACATGGATCCAGCTTTCCTACAGATGGGTATGGCTCTATTCAGAGAAATGTTGCAAGTGTTTAACCCTCAGGACCTTCCTGGGAAGACTGGGGAGAAGTGGGTGTCTTCTGACCAGGTAAAATGCATAGAGCTTCTGATCAACATGCCCAAGGGAAGAAGTTCTGGATGGATGTCTAAACACCATGGTCTGTGTCTGCTCTTCCTTCCTTACACAAGCATTCTGCACATTCTGCAATCTATGAGGACAGGCTGAGAGAGTCTAGAGGAGAGAAGGCTCCAGAGAGACTTGAAAGCAGCCTTTCAAAACCTAAAGGAGGGCTATAAAAAGGAAGGGAACTGCTCTTTAGCAGAGTTTGTTGTGACAGGACAGGGGGAAATGGTTTCAAACTAAAAGAGGAGTGATTTAGACTGGATGTGGAAAAAAAGTCTTTTACAATAAGGATAATGAAGCACAAGAACAGGTCGCCCAGAGATGTGGTGGATGTCAAGCTGGATGGGGCTCTGAGTAACTTGACCTAACTGCAAGTGTCCCTGTTAAGTGCAGGGGAGTTGGACTAGATGATCTTCTGTGATCCCTGCCAACTCAAATGATTCTATGATTCCCTCGTCTCCTTGTCCTCTTCTGCAAGTGGGATAATGTATGCTGGAGGATCATTTGGCCAGCAAAATGTCACAGCAGGATAGTGTGGGTGGCTAAGACCCCTGGTCTCATGACTAACCTATAAAACGCCTGATTCTGTACTTAAGCTGCTATAAGAGTGAAAAGACCACAATGGCAAATCCCCACTTCTGATTAACTTACAGGGGAGCTTCACAGACCCTCATAGACACCCATCCTTCAGCCTGTCCACTTGGTACTGCCCTTACTTACAAGTTGATAGTGCCTGTGGTGAGAGCGGTGACAATCCAGCGCAGGTCCAGGGTTTTGAAGGGGATCACGATCATGCTCACATTTTCTGCCAACTCTCTGTAGCTCTCAGGATAAACAAAGTGGTGGGTGGTCTTGCTCCCAACATCTGATTCGTAACCAATGGTGGGTGCCCGGTTCATTCTACAGCCCAAAAATAAGAAGTAAGAGAGTGAGAAAGTTGGAAATGAATTAGGTGCAAATGTGATTTTTCTAGCTTAAAGTGGCAGGAAAAAGTTCCCATGGCTAAAGAGAGTGCTGCATGTAGGCTCTTCAGGTGTAGAGATCCCCAGGCAGCTTAAGTGAACTTCACGGTCCATAAATTAAAAGCAAACAAAGGATAGGCTTTAGTGTACAGTTGGGTTTGTCTGCAAAGGTGTCTCTCTGAGCATGTCCCTGGGTCCCCTTTATGGTCAGCAGAGAGCTAGTCAACAGAGCTGTGGGCCAATAAGGACACATATCCTCTCACCCTAATCAATATATTAATTACACCTCTTGCAAGTGAGAAAATTACTGCCCAACTAAACTTCACACAGTTTGCCTCCTTCGTACAGGTGTATTTGGATGTCTGGGGTGTAAGTAACAAACCACTACTTGTGATGAGAAGCAGCAAATACTCCTTGGGGTCCTTTCATGAGAAAGCACCAAATTCTCAGTGGCAAATGCAGGATCTGCTGCCAAACCCTTCATTTTCACAACTTTGATCATCTATCTAGGGAACAAGGAGCACTACAAAACCAGCTTCAAAGCCTGATAATACCTGCTTTATATCCAGTCTGCAGATCAGAGAACCCTACGGTGTGGCTGGCCTTGCATATCTCCATGGTACAGTACAATACCAACGGAAACTCTCAAGTCAGCTCTCAGCAAAATAAGTTTGTCTGTTGCCCAGAGAAGTCTCCTGTAGAGACAGGAGCTCATCTCCTGGCAGGAGGACAAGGAAGGATGTAGCTGAGGAAATGATGGTCAGCATCATACATTGCTGGATAACATACTGCTGTTGCCACTGCTAACAGGGAAGCAAACTCTAGCAAATTTAAGCCAAGTTGCATTTTGCAGTGCTCCCTCAGGTGAATCAGTTAAATTTCTTCTAATTTCCTCAAAGGGAGTTATTAACATAGGTAGAACATCCTGTGTGGACTTGTTGCTGAATTCTCTTCCTTTCCAGCTTTAAGGATCCTCACTGTAATGCATAAAAATACCACACAAAGAGTAAGAATTCCTACACTTCTATCTTGAGATTAGTCAATCTGAAGTACGTTATACATGGCATGTTTTCTGTGAACACAAAGCCAAGCATTGTGTCTTAATTATGGATACAAAGGCAGCAATCATACACAGTCTCAACAGAAAGGACTGGGATTTCACTTAGTCAAGAAAACTGACAGCAAAGCAAAAGTGACCCGGAATACAGTGTATGGAAAGGAGGGTGTCACCTCAGGCTCTTTTCTACACTTGGATCTATTGCCAGAGCATGTGAAAGTGAATTACCAGATCACCAGAGATTTCATTTGTTGGATTAGCACATGGATGGGTCACCTCCTCTGCACAAGGTTCTTCAACAAATCCTAAAACCTTGTGCCATTCATTCAGATCCAGCTTGAGACAGCTAAATTAGAAGTCACATGTAAGAAAAAATTCTTTCTCAGTGAGGGGGTGAGGCACTGGAACAGGCTGCTCAAAAAAGTTGCAGATGCCCTGTCCCTGAAGACTTTCAAGGTGAGGCTGGATCAGGCTCTGGGCAACCTGATCTAGCTGTGGATGTCCCTGTTCATGGCAAGGGGACTGGACCGTGATCTCTGAAGGTCCCTTCCAACTCTAAGGGTTATACGATTCTATTCTTGAAGTCAGAGACAGCCATGATAAATTTCAAATCACAGAGAGTTTCCCCTTTGCCAGGGATGCATAGCTACAGAGGGGGGGACACATCCCCTTAATTACTATAAAAAAAAATTCAATTTTCCTTCCAGCAAAGCCTGCCAGGCTTTTCTATAAGAATTTTGGAAACATAGGCCAGGTAAGAAAGTCCACACAGGAATTGGGTGGTCTCCAAAGCAAGCAACAAAGAGTTAAGCATAAATGCACTTCCACTGCCAAGCATTTACAACCCATGGGATTAAGGTGGGGGGCTCTTCCCTTCACGTATGAGAAGATCTGGTTGGCTGACTGCCTCTGGGAAGATATTTGTTTGCTGCACGCAAATGAAGGAAGCAATCCTTGAAATAATTTATCAAACACATCTAGGTGTCCAAGCGGCGTCAAAAATAGAGAGGCTTAAGGTGGCCTAGCAGTTCAATAGCGCTGATCTTCTGTTGACTCACTTTCAACTGCTTCCAGCTAAACATTACATTCTGAGAGAGTAATTTCACACACTGTATTTCCAGTAGCAGTCTCTCCATTCAAGGCCTTCTGATCTGCCCCCAAGGCTCCCTGAATTGTGCTGCACAGCCAGCTGTGGTGTAGAGTTGGAGAATGTGTTGGACTACTGTGGTCAAGAGAGCTCCCCCTGAAACCTTGGCAAAGTGAACTTAGCCCATATATCTTGATTGCCTTCTGGGAGGTTCTCTCTGCCTACCTCATGTCTCCTTGTCTTTCAGCAGGAAAAAATAGACAATGCTCACTGTCACAAAAGACAGAGTTGATACGTCCCCTAATGAAGTGGCTCTAGCCATTAAGCTGTCTCCTCTCTGCACAGGAGCCTTCTCAACCTACCACTGCTTAGAAGTGAACAAGTGCAAGAAAGAAAGATCTGATACAGTCAGTTATGTGTGCAAAATATCATTTGTCAGCCCTAGCTAGAGAGAGAATGTTTACCCAAGATTATCATTTTTTCAGGCATTTTTTTAAAACACAAGCAGTTTTGAACAGTGCAGAATAAGTTACAGTATCAACACATACCTAAATCCAGGACAGGTCATGTTTTCCTTCTGGACTAAAACAAGAAGCCGTATCTTTAACACACATAATTTATATTCCTGTAGCTTAGACAGAACCTGAGCACCCGATTTCACTAGGTAGTCCTTGAAATCTTTTTTGCTCTCTTGTCCCAGAAAATAGCAGTGAATCTTCAAACAACAGAGACCTCTGGAGCTGAAGTGGTGCCTGCTTACCTGAGCACAAAGTCATGGGAGTCAATATCTTGGCCATACTGAGACTGACGAAGGTTGCCGGAGTTGCCCACGACGGCACACCGTCTGCATGAGAAAGTGCCCCGCTCTTGCAGTGGGTCCCCGTCCCCAGGAATGATCCCAAACAATTCCTTGAGAGTATCATTAATATTCTTCGGAGATTTCTCTCCTTGCAGTTTCTGTGAGGGAGAAAAATCACTCCAGGTTACCACTATACCAGTATAACCAGCTTCTCTGTGAGTGAGACATGGCTTCAAATGTCTTCTCAAAGACCAACTTAGCTCATGCTGCTGCAGACACTGTCTCCCACAGTGTACGCTACAAGGCTTCAGGTGGGAGCTTCAAAAGTGAAGGAAAAACATGGAAAACCCTTTCCCAATTATTTTTTAACTTGCTTTCCCTTTTCTCCTCCTTTTCCATTAACAGCCTCACATCCCCGGTCTCTATTTAGCCATAGTGGAACAGATCATACATTCTCCTCAAGGCTGACCCCAGCACAATTAAAGTCCTTCTGAAGTCTAAAAGCCTCATACTGCTTTGGACCAGATATCTTCTGTTAAGACACGTATAAGATTACTTTTAACTCTCCTAGGAAGGACAAAACAGTCTAAGGGAACCAGATGGAGTACAGAATTAGGGCCAAGCCAGCAAGAGTAGCCACGGACACCCTTCCCTCAAGTTTTGGCACATGCCAGAAGTGGGACAGTGAGTTTTCACTTCTGTTATTCTGGACTAGCCAGACGCTAGGGCAATACAGTACAGAAAAGTAGAGTTAACCCTGAGAGCTGGAGATGTAAAGCTATACAAAAAATTCTCAAGGATGAAGAAAACCACCCCGGACCTTGGTCACTGTGCCTGTTGCCATGGAGGGAAGTTCTTTGTATCAGTCCTGTGGTGCGTGGTGCAAACAATGGCCAGATGGTGAAGGCAGCGGCAAGGAGCAGGGCAGGTGATGTTACACTCACTCCCTTTCTGGGAATCTGCTCTCTGAGGGCTGCTAAAAAGGTTGGGAGTGTTGGCATGCTGACACAAATCACTGCCCACACCCGTGGTGTCACCTGCTCACACGTAGGATAGAAAGCTCCCTAAGGGAGAATGGATCTAAGACAACATCCGCCAAAAGGCTTTGCCCTGCTCTGCAAGCTCAGGGCAAGGAAATACAGGGAGGGAGGGAGGGAAGAAAAATACCTTTCCCACGACTCCCAGCAATGGCCTGGGGTAATCTGGCTTTAGTTTTGACGCTCTTCTCTCACCTGCACCAGGACCTGTAAATCTGTCCTACTCTCTCTACGTACACATAAAGAACTATGACTGCAAATTTTGTTTGATCATCAAAATTATGTGTTGTCTCTTCACAGATCTATGTAAAGAAACCTTATTTGCACAGAACTGAACGACAAGTCCATGGAGGTCAGAGATAAAGGAAAACAAGGCCAAGGACTCAGAACAAAGGAGCCAAAGAAATCTTACCTAACAAATTCATAGAATCATAAAAAGGTTTGGCTCGCAAGGGATCTCAATGATCATCTAGTTCCAATCTCCTGCCAGGGGCAGGGCTGCCACCCAATAGAACAGGCTGCCCAAGGCCGCATTCAACCTGGCCTTGAATCACTGCCAGGGATGAGGCATCCACAGCTTCTCCAGGCAACCTCTGCCAGGACCTCACCACCCTCACAATGAAAAATTTCTCCCTGACATCTGATCTAAATCTCCTTTTAGTTTAAAACGTTCCCTCTTGTTCTATCACTACCCACTGACAACAACTTCACCTTCCTGCTAACCATTGCTAACCTACACACTCACGTATGCGTTGCACAGGGTGGTCCTCACTAAAAGAAGTCAGCACAAAACTCTTGCTGGGCTGAAGTTACCATCCATTACTGTCTTGGCCTGCAGCTGATGCTGAGTTTTGGCAGAGACAAGAGGAAGGGCTTGGACTACCACAGCTCTGAGTCCATTGGGTAGTGCTGAGAAATGACATCAATCACAGCACCACTGAAATAGGCACTGCCTTCTTCTGGCTGCATTAATAACTCACCCCTTCGTGTTATTCCTTCAACCCACTCTGAGGGCAGGACATTAGAAAAGCCAGGCCAAGTAATCAAATGGCTGCACCTACAGCTAAAAGGTAATTAGGATGCACAGACAAGAACAGTTATTATTGCTACATATACATACATACGTATTCTGCAGGCAGTTTAAGCACAAATAGTCATTTTCTCCTAAATTTTTTTGTGTGTGATGTTACCAACATATCTTCACATACCTAAACTTGTATGTTCTTTATTAACCCAGTCTAACCTAATTCTCAAAACTAATTGGCCTATAAGCAAACCACTTAATGTTAGCCTAATCCTGCACAGCCTTCAAAATAAACGAGGGCTTTTCATAGATGTCACAGAATGCAGCATCAGTGGTATTACGCAGAAAAATCCCATTTTTTAAGAAGGAACTTGTTTTGAGTTATTTGAACACATGCGCACACACCATTTGCAGACTCCTCTCTCTGTAAAGACTGAACTGACTTTAAATGCCTTTAAGAAATGAAAGAGAATACCAGCAAACATTGCTTCAAAACATTTTAAAGAACGTAATCATTCTAGGAAAAATAAAAATTTCTTCTTGAACTGATTTTGCCCAACAAAATTCAGATAGAGAAGGTAATTTTCATAAAATCCTAAGCAGGTGAGCCTTCTTTTTATGTTAAATGACCTTTTCAGACAGAATGATAGCGTCAGTAAAGGAAATGAGCAGTAGCACTTCTGTTTTTGGTGCATTATGGGCAGGCACAGAATTGAGATCTGAAGTGTCTTTCTGTTACACTGCTATCAGTCTATACTACCTGCATTGCAATCATGTTAAAATGTGCTCACCAAGCCCAGGCAGAAGGCCGGATACCACTGTCCTAAAATCTCTGTTATACAGAATTTCTCCAGCTGAGATTAGGACTGGCTTTACAGACTGCAAAGACTGTAAGTAGAGGGAGGACTTTTTGCTTAACTCCATCCAGGAAAACACCAGTCTCTCATTAAAGGTGCTGTTTTTATATCCTCAGTGATAATCTGATCGGACTCTGTTTTTCAAGACCAGGACTAATCTTCAATGGTCTAGTCTTTGACTTTTCAGCAGTACAAAGCAGAACAGGAAATACAGTTGTTTAACTCCAAGGCAGATCTCTTTTAAAACTTCAGACGCAATATGCAGCCAAGTTCCTTATTTCACAATGATTATTTGACTTCTTGAAAATGTCTATTTTGATAGCTTTATAATTACAAGCCAATTATAGTTCACTTTCCCACAACAAATAGTTGTTTTTGGGGTTTGTTTTTTTTTGAGTAGTGTTGTCATTTTAACAATCTACCACCAGTTTGGCATTTCCCATAAATGAAAACTGTGAGGAAACTAAGTCCATCCCCGTCATGCAAAGCAGAGCCATGTAAACCCTGGCAGTGCAGATGGCAGCATAATGCCCACTTGGAGCTCTGCTGAGATGTGATGTTCTCTCCAAGTGCTGTACGTGTGTGCCAGGGATATATCTATGAATATAGCTGCTGGCTTAAATACACTGAAATACCTGAACCGTGTGTCCTTGGCGAAGTCACTGGTCTTCTCCAAAGTCTTTGCAATCAACAGCCTTATCTAACGGTGCAGTTTAATCTCTTGCCCAGTTCCAAAAGGAATCTTTACCTGACTTGTGTCCACATATCAAATATCTCAAAACACTTCAGTCTCTAGCCCTCTGAGAATAAGAGACCAGAAACCTTGGGATTTCCTGTTTTTGTATCTCGGAAGGCTTCCCTAGGCTCTCTGGTACCATCACGCCACCAGTAATGGTACCAAGTATTGCTAAGAAGCAGTACTCAAAACTAACTAAGAGAATGCAAGGGGAGGATGTGAATTCAATCAAGCCTGCTCAGAGCTAATAACTTGGAGCAGTGGCAATGAAATCAAAGAGTCTAGAAGGGAAAACCTGCTGGTGCTTGTGCACCCTGCATCCATGGGCAATTTGGATAGTTCAGGTTGGATACTAGGAAAAATTTCTCCTCCAAAAGAGTGGTAATGAATTGGAACAAACCACCCAGGGACGTGGTTGAATTACATCCCTGGAAGCCTTCAAGAACCATGTAGATGTGCCACTGAGTGACATGGTTTAGTGGGCATGGTAGGGATGGGTCGATGGTTGGGCTAGATGCGTGGTCTTTTCCAACCTTAATGATTTCCTGATTCTAAGTTTGGCACTGCATTATATTAGACACACCTTCAAAATCCCAATATATTAGCATGTAGAAAATATCCTGCTTAACCTGAATGTAGGTGCAAATGTGTCACGCCTGGGTCAGGACACAACCTAAGTGGTGGAAAGCCGTAAGTGTGGGCCTGGCAGCACATCACGGACAGCCCTTTTGCAAGAACACTGACAGGCAGCCTAGGAAAGTAAGTGCAGAAATACTCTTTTTCAGTGTTTTCCCTTTTTTCAAATTGTCTTTAAAAGATAGAGACTTAAGCCCCATGAGAACCTCTTTTGCACAGCTACTAATTGCCTTGCTGCAACAGTTTGGAGGCATTAACACTCAGGCAGCACATTCCAGTCATAAGACATTGTACAAAGATTAATCCTAGCAACAGCCTGATGGGGCAAATGCAGGTAATCTCCATTTTGCAGACCGAAGGAAAGGTTAAAAGAAGACCATCAATTTTAAAAATGTCTCCTTGGTCTGGAAAATATGACATTATTATTGTTATACTTAATGTCCTGCAATTACTATGCATCAAAAAGATTTAGGGGAAGAATATAGGGCCTTTCAAGGGTTTGGGTTGGCTTTATGTAATGATTTGTGTCTGTCATAAAATATGTATTTTCAAATATAAATGTAATGTCCATTTTTTATGCAAATAGCACTCAGTAATGTGTGCATGCCAAATTGTATGATTTCCAGCTTCCACGGCTGGTACAAGCCACCTCCACAAGAGCAAAAAGACCCTGCCTCTGCCAGCTCTGTGTGCTTGTGTTTCTGGCTGCGGGATGCCTGCAGCTCAGCAAAACTGAGCCTGCTGTTCAGAGGGACTGCAGGTTCAAAGCACTTTCAAATCCATCTATCCTTGCCGCAGAAGAACCTGGTGCTGTCCAGCTGGACATACAAGACACTGCTGGCAAGGGCACGTGGTGGGGATGCCCTTTTATTCACAGTCTGCTGAGAAAATCTTTAAGCCATACATTACACTTTTTCTTACAGCCACAAGACCTAAAAGCTGGCATTTTCTTTTAGATATGCTAATCAAATGTCCCCAAGAGCTGAGCATCATAAAACTCAAGATAAAACATGTTATAATGTGAAAGTTTATGAACTCTGTGCAGCAGGTAAGATTGCCAGAGAACTCTGAGCCTGATTTTACTTATTATAAACTTTAATAAGTTTAAACTTTAATACTTTATTATAAACTTTAATCCATCAGCTTGAGTGGAGTTATTTGGAATTTAGAATAGCAAGTTTCATTCTTGCATTTTTTATACTCTCTGATCACTAAAAACAATGAAGAAAAACTTTCAGGACAAAACAAGAGAACTATAAATAAATGCTATGCCATGTTACAGCATGTATTTTTTTATTTTTTTTTTTTGTCCCAGCTCCTTATATATGGGCTACTGTCATAGATCAATAGAAAACTTGAAAGTGAGCCTGTTGTTCAGGACAATGGGACAGATAATAGGGATAAATGCAGCACGTTGTATAAGGTGACAACTTCCAGAGAGACTCTGACAATCCCTGAAATACAAGATGAGTAAATGCAAATGGACAGAAAGACAGAGGGACACATGGAGAAGAGGGGAGGGG